AATACATATCAGTGTATTAAAGTCAATACTTCATTCATTTAAACCAATATCTTTCTTGATTCTTTGTACAGTATGAAAAAAGAGTCTTTGTACCTGTGCTGAAGTTCACTGCTGTGAGGAGTCCAGTTCTGTCTCTCACTCTCTGGTCCAGCCTGTCTGCATCACCTGGACACCTTAAACAAACAGATATATATATATATATATATATATATGTAAAGTACCATGTGTACAAACAATATAACTGATTCTCTTCTGTTGAACATGTTGGAATGTGTATTGTCCGAGTCAGGGGCCTTTTTATTTTACTGTAACTTTGGAAGTTGTGTTACCAATGCTTACTGTTTATTTGATACCCATTTGGTAATACAATTAATAAAAACAACAAGGTTTGGGTTCGTTCTTCAGATGACTGTGACGTTAACGTGTAAGCTCAATAATGAACTCCAGCTCAACCAACCATATTGTAATATCTAAGTAATCATCTTGAAATATGACATTAATAATTGTAATATACACACATATTATTGTGAGGTTGATTTCACATACACTACTTAACCTTAGATGCATACAGTTCTACCTACATAATAAAATATCTCTAAGTTACAAGGATGTAACCTTATTTTATCAACCTCAAACAGAAGCCGTTTGTTCAATAGTATTATCCCACTTAACACTTGTCTATTTCGTTGTAACCTTTATATATACAGTCTATGATTTTAACTTGGAGGCTACGATTACAATCGTTAGCACCGATGTAGCTACCACTAGCTTACATGCTAACCCAAGCCTTACCATTCATTACGTAGCTGATTAAAATCATTAACACATAAATAAAGCACTAGAATTTCACTTACCGCATTCATGCACCGTCTGTTTTAACCGCAGAGCGAGTCACAATAGTCCGATATATAAGCATGAAGAACAAACAACCACGGCCGGCTACAAGTTGTGTTTCCTGGATGAGCTGAGCAGGCAGAGTCCCTGTAGCTAGCTTCACGGAGCAGCTAGCAAGAGAGACAAGAAGCTAACAGCGGCAGGCACTTGACAGAGCCGTCACTCAATGTGACCACGCCCTAATTTATGCACAAACTTTAAGACCTAATATAAATAAAAGGGTCGCGTTAGAAAACAATTCACTCACAGATCCATAATCATGAAGGTGGAATCTAACTATATCGATAATAAAATGTATGGAGCCAGGGGTAGAAACATGTTTTTTTCTGCTGTAAAGTTGGGCATTTTAACATGGGGGTCTATGGAAATTGCTCCTTTCTGCAGCCATCGCCTATCGGCCAATATATGTACTGCAGTGTGTGGCACTTCCGTATTGGCTTCCCGGCTCTACCCCACAGTTTGCCGCTTGGTACAAACTGGATAAAACGCGGGTTTTTTGTTGTTGTTCAGGAGTTGATCTGTCTCTGCCCCTGCCCCCACCTCGACGTAAGCGTGACGTATGTGGTGCTTTTGCTCTGGCCGGACAATTTTTTGGTGCTTGAAACGAACCGGATTCCGGAGCTAAGAGGCTGCTCCGCTGCGGTGTGAAGAGGAAAACCCGGTGCTTTTCAAGCTCCAGCTCCGAACCGGCCCTGAAACACCGTTGGTGTGAATGAGGTAACATAGACATCAAAGTGGGCTTGAGCCCCTGCCCTTTTTCTTCCTCCAGAGAAAGTGCCCTTTTTTCCCCCTTTTTTTAATTTGTTATAGATGAATATATATCTACTGCTGTTTGCGCACAGTTTCCCTTTCCAAAAATATATTGATTGAATACAACATTTAAATATCAGGTTGGGAGATTAGACTGTGAAGTTCTGTAGCTCTCCCTCCCTCCACGTCTCTTGCACAGCGGTGCGGACATCGGCAGTCCCTTCAGACAGACAGGTAGCAGCACCTCCCACTTTACAGTCCCATGTTATGCCGGCTTTTCTTTGCTTATTTTGAAGGTGAGTGGAGATGAACAAATGAGTAAACTGCCAGTGCCTCGAGTTTACAGCTAATTAGCTAAAAGACAATAACAAATATAGTTAACTAAGGTAGGCTACTAGCTAATGGATAAGTTAGCTCACGTTTTAGCTAAGGCAATTTATCATGGGCTAATGTACTGTACGGGGAGACACTTAAAGTGAATACAGTCAAATTTGTATCTAATAACGTCATCACAATCGCTACATTGATATGCAAATTAGGCGTTAACTAGGCCTAATTAAAATGCGCGTGACTTACTGACCAATAAATTGGTCAGTAAGTCAGAGATGTGCAACTATATTTAACTTTTTGTTTTAAAACATTTTTTTATAAATGATTATGGGAAGTGCCCTTTTTCTCACTTGAGCACCCGCCCCCAAAATGTCTGTGCACGTCCCTGCGTGACCTAAATTATGTGCCCTGGTCCATCAGGATCTCTTTCGGGATCCCGACTCGGGAGATTATATGAAACAGTGCCTGCTCAACGCTCTTAGCAGAGATATTATGCAGCGGCACTGCCTCTGGATATCGTGTTGCATAATCCACTAGGACTAGTACAAAGCAATATCCCTGTGCACTCTACGTTAAGCAGCTTAATTAGTAAAATGTACAATCTGGGTGCAGCATATCACTTTATAATGCAAGAACAGTGGTTAAAATGTCGGGGAAAGTGTCTTAAATAGGGACAGAGTGTACCCAGAGAACCAGGGCGTATTATATCACTTTATAAGGCAGCAAAGGTGTTCCAAATGTCAGTTAAAGTGGTTTAAATGGTGGGATAGAACCAGGGTGCAGAATCTGAGCCTGTATGTATAGTTTCCTCCTCAGTCCCTCTGCTTCCTAGGTTTTAGCGCCTTTTTCAGCCTGTAGTGCAGGGTCTTCACCTCATCATTGAGGGCATCCCTCTGAGCCCTCAATGCAATTATTTCCAGCCTGACCTGCCTGCAGTCCTCGTTGTCACACTCGGTCTGTGGGGAGAAGGGTGGAGGGTGCCCCAAGAATTCCTCTATGTTTTCATCGTCTACATCCAATGACGTAACCATTCCAGTTTTGGGGTTACTCATACGGAGGTCCCGAAGCATCAACTTTTGTGTGGAAAACATCCTACCTGCCAGGACCGTGCAATGTTTTCCCAACAACAAACCCTGGATGACCCCTGAGATAAAGGCTTTCCTGAAGGACAAAAAGAGGGCCTTTAGACCAGGCAACAGAGAGGAGCTGAGGGTGGAGGATCAGAAAGGGGAAGAACAGCTACAGGAAGAGGATAGAGGAACAGCTGCAGCAGAGGAACGTCAGCGGAGCCTGGAGAGTCCTGAAGACCATCTCTGGCTACAAAGAGCCAGACTCCCAGGGGGGACCAACAGTGGGTAAACGACTTGAACATTTTCTTTAAGAGATTTCACCAGTCAGGGGCTCCTTCCCTGGCCTATTACCCCCTGCTTGCACCCCCCATTGTCCCCACTCCAACCCCCCCTCATGCTGACGGCACCTTGTCCCTCACAACCAACCAGGTGAGGAGAAAGCTGCAGAAGTATAAGAGCGAGGAAGGCGGCGGGTCCAGATGGCATCAGCTCGAGGCTCCTCAAATCCTGCGCGGACCAGCTGTGTGGGATTGTGGAGTTGCTGTTCAAACTGAGCCTGAAGCAAGGGAGGGTACCTCAACTGTGGAAGACGTGTTTGATACCTGTGCCAAAGACCCCTCACCAAGGACTTCAACAGCTACCGGCCGGTGGGGCTGACATCATAGCTGGTTAAGACCCTGGAACACCTCCGGCCCCTTGTGGGACCATCGATGGACCCGCTGCAGTTCGCCTACCAGCCTGCCATCGGGGTGGATGATGCTGTCATCTTCCTGCTGCAGAGGTCCCTCTCCCACCTGGAGAAGGCTGGGGGCACTGTGAGGATCATGTTCTTTGATTTCTCCAGTGCCCTCAACACCATCCAGCCCCCGCTCCTGGGAGACAAGCTGCTGCTCTCGGGGGTGGATCACCACCTCCACCTTTTATTATTTCACCTGGCTGCTATATCGCTAAACTGTAACTGTTACTGTGTATCTTGTTTAATTTGTAGTTTTTATTTTTAAGATGTTTTCTTATGCATGCATATTAAGCTGTCTTTGCTCTTTGTAACAATTGTACAGTTCCCCTCTGTGGGACAAATAAAGGTATTCTGATTGTCATAGAGATATCCATTCTGAGGGTGGGCCTAATGACCCAGTGAGGTCATAGGTCACAGGCTAACCAATGGACACTGTTAATTGATGTCCACAGCTGGGGATAAGACAACTTCTGCTGTAGGTGTTGACACAGGAAGGGGCTTTGGATTTCCAAATGAAAAGAGGATCATGTGAATGAAGATCCATGGCTCAGTGTCCATATTGTGGAGCCCCAACATCAAGCTATCAAGGATTATTAGAGAGGCTAAAGTCAGAAGAGGAGGTATGACAGTGATGTTTGTGATCATGTGATCTTGGGTTTCCTTTTATTGTTTATTATACAAATGATAATTCCTTATATAGAAATTTACACAAACAGTTGGAGGAAATCCGTGATACAGATTATTTGCTTAATGCTGAGCTATTCAGATGATCCAAAATGAATATTATGAATACAATTCAAATTCTGCTCCCAGAATAATTTATCCTAATCCTGCTCAGATACTGTATGCACACTTTAATGCAGAGAACTATTTATTTATTGGAAACAGTTGTGTTGGGTAAGAGATGATCAATGATCCTTCAATCTGTGCTCTACACTGCACTGTTGTATAAGTCTATGTAGGACAATATAAATATTGAATCAAATGAATGTAAAACTGACTCAGTATGAAAAGCTCTCAACCACAATCAGAGACAACAGAGGTTGATGTTGACATCATGTGTATCCAATAATATCCTGACAGCTGACTACCCCAAGGGTAGCAGACCCTGGGATTCCTTGTGAAATACTGATACAAGGTGATGGGAAGTATTTCTGAGTTGAACAGGGTAACACGTCTTTGTAATTGAATATCCTCTTGACCCGTTGGTTGTGTTCTAGGTGAGTTTCCAGAGCTGCAGGGGAAGCTGCGCTCAGTGCTGAGGCTGGAGGTGGAGGCGGTGCGTTTCCTGAAGGAGGAGCCTCATAAGATGGAGTCCATGCTGAAGAGGGTCAGGGCCCTGACGGAGGCCCTCAGCTGTCTCCGCAGGTGCCCATTACCTCCACCAGGCTTCTATGTTCAGCACGAAAAATATTCTGATGCATTCTCACATCTCTTTCCCTCCAGGTGTGTGTCAGAGTCAACCCCACCAGCCACAGCAGCTCAGGTGGAGACTCTGAACGTCCCGGGAACAGACCAGGGACCCGTGAAGACGCAGAGCCCCCAGAGCTCCCCCAAACCCCAGCCCCGATCCTCCGTCAGACCTGCTCCACTCACCCCCTCCCTCCCTGGGGGTCCCGCTGAAGCCTCCCCCGTCATGGCCCGCAGAATGAACGCTTCCACCTCAGTGAATCAGCCCCCCCACCACCAGCCCAGCCTCCCACTGACTCCCACCCATGGGAGAGACTCCCCCTCTATAGCCAAGGTGCTGCACAGATGAATGTTTATGAGTTATAATCTGAGCCTGTGTGTGTATTATATAATAAACAGGTTGTTTGTTTGTTGTGAAGGTGAGTCCTCGCAGCAGAGAGAGCAGCCCCGCCCTGCAGAGGATGCCCCTGCAGCCCCCAACACAGGGGGGCCACACTGACCAGGCAAGCATGATGCACACACACACACATACTGAGGTGTGTGTGCTGGTTTTATTGAATGTATATATTTTAAACTCTTTTTTTAACAATCACAATTAATAATAGGAACCTTTTATTTATAGCATTTAAACACAGTTACAGAATGTTTAGCAATACACATTGCTATCAAAATGATTGAAGTCACTGTTATTTTGTATATATTGATTGTTGCGTTTTTATTTAGATCTTAATGTGTGCACATGTAAAAATGTGTCTTTGACTGTGTGTATATATATACACATACATATTTGCACACATATTTTAATATTTTATTTGTTTTTATATTCTGGATTGTGGGAAACAGTATTTCGATCTCTGTCTGTACACACAAACTGGAAGATTGACAATAAAATTGACTTTGACTTTGAATACTGACATGAAACTGACATTAGCAGCTGGACACACACACAGAAACAGTTTGATCAATAACCTCATCATAACTCTCTATTGTTTACATATCATTTTAAACAATAAAGGGATTTGCTGAGGTATACGTGGAGGAACATTGAGGTTACTGCTGAAAGGCTCTCTGTTCACTCTGCTGTCGGACCCTGAGAGTCTGCAATACAGTCATATTTAGATGGTTAGTTAAAACTATTAAACATGTTTACATTATAGACAGTACAGGCATTACATATTACTAATGGGATACCGAGGTCACAGTCAATTTGCTCTTTATGTTGATTTAATAACTTACAGGTCAAAAGAGGTCTGTATGTGAAAACAGGCTTAATGGAACACTTTAAGAGATCCAATTCAACAGACGCTGTTTTAATGTGAAGCAGGAACCATCTACATGTTTGCACATAATAATAATAATAATAGGTTCCTCGCACTTCGTGCTAGGACGCCGTTGGGTCGTAGCGCTCCGTGCTTGGGCCCTAATAATTTATTACATTTATTTCACGCTTTTCCAAGTGCTCAAAGCGCTTTACATTACATAGTACACATATCAGACATGTAAAACATCAATACTGTGGACAATACCCACAGGAGCAAATTAGGGTGAAGTGTCTTGCCCAAGGACACAACGGCGTGCTGACTGCAGTGGTGGTGGAGGCAGGATTTGAACTGGTGTTCCCCAGCTCCCCTGATCTGAGGATCAACGCACTAGCCCATAATAATGATTGTGATGCTGAAGCAACAACACTATTATTCCTGACTTTTCTACCAAAATTAAGCCAACTTCCAAACTAGAAATGTTAAATCACTGCCTCTTGAAGGTATGACAGTACTGATCATCTTTAGCTGATTCAGACATATTCATGGTTTAAAAACCTCACCTCTCAATACCATGTGTGCCCTGTATGTGTCAGACTGCAGAGAGACGGACTCTAGAGGGCAGTCTGAGTGTACAGATTCTCCCGCCCGCCACCAACACACACTGTAACCAGGACCTCCAGGAAGCACAGGCCAGCCTGATGCAGTCTGTCCCTGCGCCATACTCCACAGAGGGATGCTCTGCTTCAGGACAGAGAGATTCCACAGCCTCAGCGGAGCAGCAGGAAGTGATACCTCCCCAGCTGAGGGAGTGTGTGGGCTCCACCCAGTTAGATGCCCGAGACTCAGGTATGATACTAGTTTGAAGAAAGAAAATAAAACACAGCCATTATTCACTAAAGATGTCCAGAACAAGGAAGTATCCCTTTGGTCCACCAGCCTTCAATTGATATGAAGTGAGAGTTCTGATCCAACTTTCAGGCAACAGCAGCACCTTGGTAATCAGAGAAGTGTTGCTGTGATTGAGGCAAACAGGAGAGCTGACTTTGTGGAGACATTAGTTGTCTACTGTTTATCAGTTTGTAAATGTCATGGATGTATGAGGAGAACTGGATCCAGCGATGGAGGCGGGCTCTCATTAATTCCTAAAGAAGTTGCTCAGTGGAGCATGAAGCCAAAATGGCCTGACTCTGGAGAATAGAAGCACCCAGGTCATCCGGGGATCTGGGCCTGTAGAGATGTGCACTAGTGTTCTCCTTATGCGCGATGGAGAGGGGAAATTAAAACTTTTATGACCTAATTATTCAAATAAGGGCTGTTCAACTGTCCGTAATTGAGTGATTACATCTAAATTGTCTGGCGGACACTTTCAATGTTTCAACTGCTACATCTCAAATCCTAATCGTAAATGTACATTGCGTGCAGTGTGACTTACCGGCGGAAATACCGGCTACTTTCAACCGGCCTGTTCAACTCGGCAACCGGACTACACATCGTTGATCTTGATGGGTCCAATTATTTTTCTCATCCTAAAGGGAAGTTCCTGGCTTTTTTAATTGTGCACTGATCTGTATCTGACTGTTTCACGATCCCTACTGATCCAGTTTTTTTACTTTTAAACCAGCGATGCATCGGGTCGGACTTCCTGTTTACATGTGACGTCACAACACGCATCGTCCCCAGCTGATCGGGTGGTTGAAAATTCCCGGAACGGATTTATATGGGATTGACCCTGATTTCGTTCTGTACTAAAGAGTCTGCTGTTTTGATCGGGTTCTCCACGTTTCGCGGGATTGTAATTATGACACTGCTTTTGGCTGTCCTATCCCTTTTAATTTGGAGCAGCACTGGGGGAAGTCCCCACGGGACCGAAATATCCCGTCCATCTCTCCCAACCCCGGTTTTACCAGGCCGGGGAACGTGCTCTTCTTGCAGTCCGCTGGGCACGATGTGTAGCCCCCCCCCCCCCCCCCCCCCCCCCCCTCTGATCCTCTCTCCCGCATCTGTCAAGTGCAGATCTGTGGACTTGGCCCGGCTGATTAGCCTTATGGCTCTACAACACAACTTTATTATTTCTTCAAGCCATGTTCATGATTTTGTGTTTAAACACTAAGAGAGAGCCGTCAAAAAGTCCACCTAGGCATGTCCAGTGGCGACTGGTCATTAGGGGCAGATGGGGCACAGCCCCACCTAGTGTCAGCAGAAAATATCATGTTTAATCATCTGATTCGTCTGTACATTGCTGTTTTAGTCTGTGTTCTTCTAATTAGTGTCTACAGTGTGTGCCTATTGAGCTGTTTAGAGCCATGTAGGACAAATCCCGATCCTGCCCCTCCCTCTCACTGTCTAAGTGAACGGTGACTGTAAAAACTACACTGCGCATGCTCAGAGTATTTTCCTATTTAATGTGTGTGGCAAAAAAATAATGACCATAGGGCCATAGAGCTGCCATCCCCACCATACGTCATCTCACATCATTCAGAGCTGATTGGCTGTAAGTACGTGTGCCGTGAAAAGTGTGGTGTGTGAAGAGGAGGAGAGAGACGCGTCCTAAAACCAGGAAGTAAGCTGCGCATGGCTTCCCTCCACAAAAAGCAATGAGATTTCTCCATAGGATTTTAGAAAATAGCTCCAAATAAGATCTGTGGGAAACAAACCTGTTAGATAAATGCACGTTTTGTTCAGCCGGATAATATCCACATGTCTACCCTACTTTTATAATTTTCTAATCATAAATCTATTGATTAGATTTATGATAGACTTTTGAAACTACAAAAAAGTAATGGAGATTTTTGTCTATATATAAGGCTATTCTTGGTGCTCTTCCCCCTTATCTAAGGATGTACATAAACAGAAAATGCACTGGATCTTATCGGCTTCGCTCCGAGAACTTTTTCCTTTTAACTGTACCAAAGGTCCGTACTGATCTGGGGAAAGGGGCATTCAGTTACGCTGCCCCGCAAGCTTGGAACCTGCTTCAAACTGAGCTGAAACTCAGAGAGCTGGTCTCATTAGAAACACTCAAAGCAACTTTAACTGACCTTGAAGCAGGCCGCTGTGTCTGTCAATGCTTTGTCTAAACTTGGTGTATGACTGTGTTGTGATTGTGTGTTTTTTAATTGTCTGTAACTGTAAAGCTGTCTGAAACTGTGCCGTTACCATTCTTGGGCCAGGACTCTCTTGAAAAAGAGATTTTAATCTCAATGAGACCTATCCTGGTTAAATAAAAAAATAAAATGGGAAGATGATTTTGCTAAAAGAATTATATATATATTCGCTGATTTACAGACATCTCTTTCCCAATGTTAGTCAATGGGAAACTGTCTGTTGAATTCTAAGTGATTAAATGATTTCTCTCTGATTTGATGTGTTCAGCTCCATCAGCCTCGCAGCTTGTTGCAGTCGCTATGAAGCCTCCACCCTCAGCCCCCCCCTCAGCCTCTCCCAAAACAGAGCACAGCGGCCGGCCACAGGTGGAGAAACCACGCCGCACCAGTGTGGACAAGGCCATGAAGCAGAGTCCAGACAGGGGGGGGAAGTCTCCCCCTCCTCCCCCAACACGGAGGTTAGTTCATCCCTGAGGATCAGCTGCAGACCCAGCTATCTGAAGTCTACTAATGATAGATCACCTCTGTGATCTGTCATTATTATTGTTATTAACTGGATCCTCCTCCCCAGGTTCCACGCTGTCAGCTCAGGACTCACCACCGGAAGCTCAGGAGAAGTGATATTCACCACGAGGAAGGATCCGGGGGGAGCCAAGGGTGTGTGTGTGTGTGTGTGTGTGTGTGTGTGTGTGTGTGTGTGTGTGTGTGTGTGTGTGTGTGTGTGTGTGTGTGTGTGTGTGTGTGTGTGTGTGTGTGTGTGTGTGTGTGTGTGTGTGTGTGTGTGTGTGTGTGTGTGTGTGTGTGTGTGTGTGTGTGTGTGTGTGTGTGTGTGTGTGTGTGTGTGTGTGTGTGTGTGTGTGTGTGTGTGTGTGTGTGTGTGTGTGTGTGTGTGTGTGTGTGTGTGTGTGTGTGTGTGCGTGCGTGTGCGTGTGTGCACATCTAAGCTTATTCGCAAATAGAAAAGTCAGTTTCGCGATTCAAAACGTGCAAACATGAGTTTCATTTAAATTACAAATATTTTACTGTGTCATTTTCAAACTGTTTAAAATGGGCAAACACTACATTTAATATACAATAAACAATGTGTATAAGAACGTTTCAGATGTTTAAAAAAATCACAATTTCTTTATTTGGCAGGACAAGGAATTGTCATACATATGTATATATCATGCAGAGTGTTAAACATTCTGATGACAAAGATGGTGAAGTTCCTCTGGTACAATGCGTATTTATAATAATAATAATACATGTTATTTTTATAGCGCTTTTCCTGGTGCTCAAAGCACTTTACAAGCAAGTAAAGAAGAACAATAACAACAAAAGTAGAAAGTGCTAAGCTAGGTGGAATAAGGGTGAGGGGTTAGTTGATTAGGAGTTGAAGTCAAGAGTGAAAAGGTGAGTTTTGAGAGATTTTTTAAGGAAAGTGAGAGTGCTGGCAAATCGGATGTGACTGGGGAGGGAGTCCAGAGTGAGGAGGAGGCTGCTGCGAAGGCCCTGTCCCCCCCAGGTCCGGAGCTTTGTCCTGATAGGCTGTAGTAAGACAAGGCAAGTTTATTTATATAGCACCTTTCCCCAGATCAGTACGGACCTTTGGTACAGTTAAAAGGAAAAAGTTCTCGGAGCGAAGCCGATAAGATCCAGTGCATTTTCTGTTTATGTACATCCTTAGATAAGGGGGAAGAGCACCAAGAAAAGCCTTATATATAAGGATGTGCCAATGTTTCAGTCTACGCGTGGTCAGGGAAGACCATCCAACACCAGTGTATAGATTGCAGTGGTGCATCAAGGTTTTGAGGTTTGTGATGAATCTCAGTGCACCGTGGTGGACGGTGTCCAGCGAGTGAAGGCACTGAGAAGATGCATTCATATAAACCACATCTCCATAATCCAGACAGAAAGGTTGCAGACACTAGTCTCTTTTTGGCCTCATAGGAAAAACAAGACTTGTTTCTAAAGAAAAAACCTAAATGTATTGTTAATTTTCCACAATGTGTGGTTTAAAAGAAAGCGAATTGTCAATTATAATTCCAAGATACTTATACTGCAACACAGATTCAATCTCCGACCCCTGCAAGGTGGCGATAGGAGGGAGGTTCAAGACCTTGGGTTTTGCTTTCGAGAACATCATTAGCTTTGTCTTGGCGGCATTTAAAACAAGTTTCAATTCACTCATACAATACAAGGCAATTCAAAGTGCTTTACAAAAAATTAAAGACATTAAGAAAATGGCATTTAAAATCAGTCATTAAAAAGCAAAGATAATAAAATAAACATTACAAGAAAAAACAAATGAATAAAAGTTACAGTGCAGTTTAAGATATGAATATATCAATTGTTTGTTTGTAGCCTTTATTTAACCAGGTGAAAGCCCCTTGAGATCAAAAGATCTCTTTTTCAAGGGTGACCTGCAGGACATTAGTTACACATGTAACATAAAAACAACAGAACAACAATAAGGATGACATACAACATAATGTACAGGGTACAGTTTACAAACTCTATTCACAGTGACAGGTACCATGAGTATCAAACAGCATGTCACCCAGCTGAGTTTTAAAATGATGCAGGGGAACCAAAGTGCTCAGTTTTAAACATGTTTGCAGACTGTTCCAATTTAGTGGAGCTGCACAACTAAAAGCTTTCTTCCCTAAGACAGTCCTAGCACTTGGCACATTTAATAAAACAACATCATGAGATCTCAGGCAATATGTACTTTCAATTCGTGGAGAGATCAGAGAGCAGATATAAAAAGGTAGTTTACCCAACATGGCTTTATAGATGAACATGTACCAATGACTGAGCCTCCGTACAGTTAGTGAAGGCAGACCTGCCTTGGCATACAGGGTACAGTGATGAGTAAGTGCTTTACAGTTAGTAACAAATCTCAGGGCACTGTGATAGGCGGCATCTAACTTTTCCAGGCAATGGGCAGGTGCATTCATATAGATCAAATCACCATAGTCCAGCACAGGTAAAAAGGTCACAGAGCCTTTTCCTGGCTTCAAAAGAGAAACAGGACTTGTTTCTGAAAAAGAAACCTAGTCTAACCCTCAGCTTTTTAAGCAGGTTATTGACATGAAGTTTAAAAGTAAGACAATCATCAAGCCAGATACCTAGGTATTTATAACTGGTAACCACTTCAAGTACTTGTCCTTGCATAGTAACAATATCCAAAACAGGCTCTGGTGTCTTTTTAGCTTTTGAAAATAGCATTACCTTGGTTTTATCAACATTTAAAAGAAGCTTTAGTTCAGAGAGCTGAGTCTGAATAATGTTAAAAACAGCCTGTAATTTAACACCAGCCTCCTTAATGGAGGGACCTGCACAGTACATCACGGTATCATCCGCATACAAATGTAAAGTAGCTTCATCCACATTTTCACCTAAACTGTTGATATATATGGAGAATAAAAGTGGACCTAAAACAGAACCTTGAGGAACACCATTAGCAATGTTTAACCACTCAGAAGACAGTCCATCAAAGTGAACACATTGGGACCTTTCAGAGAGGTAGTTCACAAACCTGGATATGCCGATACTGAGTAGCCTCTGCTTTAAGATGCGATGATCGACGGTATCAAACGCTTTGGAAAGGTCAATAAATAGAGCTGCACAACTCTGCTTATTGTCTAAAATACTCGTAATGTCATTCACCACTTTCATTGTGGCAGTGATGGTGCTATGTTGTTTTCTGAAGCCTGACTGATGTTTAGACAGGATATCATTTTTACATAAAAACTCCTTTACCTGTTCACTCACTAGGCGTTCGAGCACCTTCGCCAGAACTGACAATTTAGAGATTGGCCTATAGTTATTTAAAATAGTTGCCTCCCCTCCTTTTAGTAAAGGCAAGACATAAGCTGACTTCCATACTTTTGGAATTGCATTTGTGTTGAGGGAGAGGTTAAAAAGAGTAGTAAGAGGAAGAGCAATAAAATCTGCAGCTATCTTTAAAAAGAAAGGTTCTACGTTGTCCGGGCCAGCCGGTTTCTTAGGATCTAGCTTAGATAAGGCTTCATGAACAACATTGACAGTAAAAGGAGTACAACTGAAAGAGTTTTCCAGACCACATTGTTCAGAGTCACGGATTGGGGTGTTCACAGAAGCAGAGTTAGTCACAGAATCAAACATAGAACCGCATGACACAAAATGCTCATTAAAGCAATTTAACATAGTGGCCCTGTCCGATATAGTGCCAGATGCTGTGGTAAGGCACGGAGGTAGCTCATTACGGATCTCACCGGTGGATATCGATTTTATTGCTTTCCAAAATTTCCTAGGATTATTTAGGTTTTCTGTGGTAACTGACAAATAGTACTTCGACTTTGCACTTTTGACATTTGAAGTGAAGCTATTCCTTAGCTGCCTTTTTGTCTCTCTTAATGATAATGCGAGGTTTAACCTTTTGGACCTTAGTGTCCCTAATTGTGGCTACAACACAGTGATCGCTCAGATCATTTGCAAATACTCCCACAGATGAATATTTATGGGGAACATTAGTTAAAATGAGATCAATTAGGGAGGATTTATTAGGGGACTTAATGTTGGGGCGAGTAGGACTGTCAACAATCTGAGTAACATTCAAAGAGATACAAAGGTTTTTAAAATCCTCTGACACTGCAGTTAACCAGTCCCAGTTAAAATCTCCAAGTAGCACTATTTCCTTGTAGTCTAGTTGTGATAAAAGATTTGCTAGTGAAAACAAGGAGTCTTTGACAGCTGAGGGGGGTCTGTAACAACTCACTACCATGACCTGTTGACCCTTTGCCACTTCTATATTTATGGCTACAAATTCAAATTGCTTACTGATCGATTTGGAAACTAATGTGGTTACACTGAACTTATTCTTAACATAAATGGCAACGCCACCACCTTTATTAGGCCGGTCGGTACGATACACATTAAAACCATTTAAGGCAATGTCAGAGGCCGAAATAGATTTGTTTAGCCATGTTTCTGATAAGACAATGACGTCAGAGTCAGTCGAGCTCGCCCAGATACGGACAAAATCTAGTTTACCTAACAGACTGCGCACATTCAAGTGGATGAAACCCAACCCAGACCTAGCTTTAAAATCAGCAGGAGTAGCGATCTCACTACTACTACTGGGCGGACCAGGGTTAGGTTGTACATTTCCTGACAGTAATAACAACAACAAAAACAGGCATCTTTTCCTCTTAAACGACACAAATACATTGTCATCTAATTTAGAAACACCGGAAAAGTCTGCGAGAGTGTGATTAGAGCTTAAGAAGCAGTCCTGAAGAACCATCATCGCAGGAAAATAAAAAAGACAAACATATTTTGTCGAGCAGATTGACTGTGACAAGGCAACCGGTAATTGTTTGAACAACACATCCGAACCTTTGCAGGGGATGCCCACTGCGGGTGGCAGAACAGACCTGAATCCAGTAGTCTTCTCAGAATGACTAGAGATCTTCTCATAGTCCAAAACAGTTAACAGGCACAGCAGAATCCCGATATGGGCCATTTTCCCAGACCAGCACACAGTATCCGCGATGTTCCTGGAGCAAAATCAGCACAGCAGCAAAGGACAGGCGAAAACAGCAGCGTGGAAGCGCTCCGGTCCCTCCGTGGTATCCCCGGGGTGAAAGCCGGCCTCTGCAACAGCAGAACCAGGACAGGTGGAAAGCAGG